CACAGGGTGTCTGTTGTGGGGTGGGGAAGGGAAAGGAGTTTGTAAGCCGCTCTGAGACTCCCTTGGGTAGTGAAGGGCGGGGTATAAATCCAATCTCTTCTTCTTCTTCTTCTTCTTCTTCTTCTTCTTCTTCTTCTTCTTCTTCTTCTTCTTCTTCTTCTTCTTCTTCTTCTTCTTCTTCTTCTTCCTCCTCCTCCTCCTCAAAGAGCTCTCTCAGCCCCACCTACCTCACAGGGTGTCTGTTGTGGGGAGGGGAAGGGAGAGGAGATTGTAAGCCGCTCTGAGACACCTTTGGGTAGTGAAGGGCGGGGTATAAGTCCAACCTCTTCTTCTTTTACCTCACAGGGTGTCTGCTGTGGGGAGGGGAAGGGGAAGGAGTTTGTCAGCCACTCTGAGACACCTTTGGGTAGCGAAGGGCGGGGTATGAATCCAATCTCCTCCTCCTCTTCCTCCTCCTCCTTTTTTTTCCAAGGCAAGAGTTTAACAAAGGTGGTTTGGCATTGCTTGCCTCTACATAGCAACCACGGACTTCCTTGATGGTCTCCCATCCAAGTACTAACCACGGCTGACCGTGTTTAGCTTCCAAGCCTTTCTGAGATCAGGGGAGTCAAGGCTATTCAGGCTGCTGTGCATGGTTCATACCGTCAAGAGCACCCATGTGATCTATCATGTGCTGGGCCCTTCCTGGGGGGGGGGGCTCCATGGGCAGTTGCACGGTGGGGCAGTTGACTGTCTGAACTTGGGCACCGGCTGTTGCCCGAACGATCCCACGCCCTGATCACGTTAGCCTTTCACGCACGGTCTCCCCTTCCCTTGGAAGTGTTTCACGTGCGGCACGGTTACGGTTTTTGTTTTCCAGACGGAGGCAAGGAGGTGCTGTCCATGCATCAGATTCTGCTGTACTTGCTGCGGTGCAACAAGCCGCTGGTCCCCGAAGAGGAGATAGCTAACATGCTGCAGTGGGAAGAGCTGGAGTGGCAGAAGTATGCCGAAGAGTGCAAAGGGATGATCGTCACCAGCTCTGGCATGGTAACGGCAGCCGTCCGCCCCGGAAGATTATATGTGGCTCTGGTTATGTCGGTGGGGGTGGGGAGTGTATCAACTCCACCTGCTTCTCGAAGAATGATTTCGAATTCTGTTAGAAATATCAAGTTGTTTGCAGAGACTGAGTTATTTGTAGATACTGGAACCCAGGGCTATTTTTGGGCAGGAGCGCACAGGAACGGAGTTCCGGCTGGCTCCCGAGTTGGCCACGCCCAGCAGGAACTCATTAGCATAATAGGCCACACCCATTCGGATTGGCTACATTAGGGGTGTGTGGCCTCACATGCAAAGGAGTCCCTGCTACAAAAAAGGCCCTGGGTTTTGACCACAAACAAGGTAAACAGAGTAACAAGCAAAAGGTGGGTGCGGCTGGATGACCACACTACTGGTAACATGGGGGTGCGGCCTACTGTGCCAATGAGCTGTGCCTTCAGGGGTGTGGCCTAATATGCTAACGAGTTTCTGCTGTTGGGTGTGGCCTATTATGCTAATGAGTTCCTGCTGGGCTTTTTCTACAAAGAGAGCCCTGCTGGAACCAGAGAAATGAGCTACCTAATTTTTCTTCAAGTCTAGATTTGTCGAGTAAGCCGTGTTTTGAGGTTATATCTTTTAGTCTAGTAAGATTTGCTTGCCGCCAAAGTTTGAACAAATTGTGATCTTGCCCTGGTAAGAACTATTCCTGACTTTAAAAAGAGGAGAATTGTGATAGTGTAGGTCATAGTGTTAATCTTTTGTTATCCCAAATATGTAATATTGAGAAGAGATATGTATGTTTTTGGATGTGCTTTGGCCTAAAACATAGGGTTTGTTCCATATTGTATCTGGAACTGTTTTAGGGTGGGTATATTCGGACAAAATCATAACCCAGTGTAATAGGTTTTCCATTTTCATCATTTTAATCAGATTAGATAACTGGATTGCTTCATAGTACGTGGTTAGATTGGGGGAATTCATACAGCGTTTGGAATGTCTACATAAGGTGTCATGATTTATCCGGGGGGGTTTATTTGCCCTCGTAAAGCTGGTCAGCGTATTTTGCCAATGTTTCAACGTCTTTTTTTTTATTTTAGTTGGTATGGCTCAGAAATGAAATAAGCATTTGGAGAGTAGAAAAGATTTGATTAGGTTGTATCTATCTATCCTGCGAACCTAGCAATTCGAAAGCAAGAAATTGCAAGTAGATAAATAGATAAATGCCGCAAGACGGAGTGAGCGCCCGTCTCTAGTTCCAGCTCCTGCCAACCTAGCTGTTCGAGAGCAAGAAATTGCAAGTAGATAAATAGGTACCACTTTGGTGGGAAGGTAACAGCGTTCCGTGCGCCTTGGTGTTTAGTCATGCCGGCCACATGACCACAGAAACGTCTTCGGACAGCGCTGGCTCTTCGGCTTTGAAACGGAGATGAGCACCGCAACCCTAGAGTCGGATTCGACTGGCTTTTGAGCAAGGGAACCTTCACCTTTTTAAATAGGTACTGCTTTGGTGGGAAGGTAACAGTGTTCCACGCACCTTGTTTAGTCACACCGGCCACATGACCATGGAAACGTCTTTGGACAATGCTGGCTCTTCGGCTTGGAAACGGAGATAGCACCGTCTCCTAGAGTCGGATTCGACTGGCTTTTGAGCAAGGAAAACCTTTTACCATTACCTATCCGTGAGAGTAGAAGTTCTTCCCATTTGGCAATTAGTTGAGAGAATTTGCAATTTGTTGTGATGAAATTTCAGAAGATCATGTAGACCCAATAGAATTTCAGTAACCAAATAAGGCAGGGATGATGTCCATTGGAAAGGATATGCATGCCCGGAGTTTGGCAATTTGCTGGGTGGAAAGGTTAATGTGATATGCTTCCAGTTTCGTGTGATTAATTTTCAGGCCAGTTAACATCTAATATTTCTTGCAGAGTCGCAATAGACTTGACGAGGGTTGGTTATATATAGCAGTATATCGTCGGCAAGTAAGCTAAGTTTGAATCCTTTGGTAGTGATCATAATTCCTGACAAAGAGTTATGTTTTCTAATTGTAGAGGCTAAAGGTTTGATAGCTAGAGCAACTGATGAACCAAGCAGGCCAGAGACCATATTAGCATAACGGTTGCCGCCAGGGGTCATTTCGTAGAAAAAGAGGTGCGGCAGGAGCTCATTAGCATAACTTATTTGCATATGTCACACCCCCTGACATCACCGGTAGTGCGTCAGAAGGCAACACCCACCGCTCAGGCTCCACTGGACTCTTTTGGATTGCTAGCTGGGGGGGGGGGAACGTGCATGTGCCCACCCCCTGGGCTCTTTACTGCCGGAGCACCGCTCCTGTGCGCTCCCTGCAGGAAATGACCCCTGGTTGCCGCTATCCCTAATGTATTAGTTTACAACCAGCTAGTACTTTATGATATTGGATTGTTTTCAGATGGTTTTATTTATGTCATCATTGTTCTTATGTTCATCTCTTGTAAGCTGCCCTGAGCCTGCTTTGGCGGGTGAGGGCGGGGTAGAAATCAAATAAATAAATAAATAAAAAGAAGAGGGGGCAAAGGGCGACCTTGACGCGAGCCTCTTTGTAACATAAAAGTATCAGTTATCCAAGCCAGTTATCCAAGCCAGTTTGGTGTAGTGGTTAAGTGCACGGACTCTAATCTGGGAGAACCGGGTTTGATTCCCCACTCCTCCACTTGCACCTGGCTGGATGACCTTGGGTCAGTCACAAGCTCTGGCACAGCTGTCCTTGAAAAAGAGCAGTTTGTGTCAGAGTTCTCTCAGCCCCACCCACCTCACAGGGTGTCTGTTGTGGGGAGGGGACGGGGGAGGAGTTTGTAAGCCACTCTGAGACTCCCAAGTGAAGAGCGAGGTATAAATCCAATCTCTTCTTCTTCTTCTCCTTGAAAACCTGTCCTTTCATCCATCTGTCCTCTCCAATCATCACTCCGTTTCCTTTCTACTCTTTGCCAAGTGGAGGAACTGTGCTTTTGTATTCCGTAAAGAGCCATGAGTTGTATAAGCCAAGCTAACCCAGTCTCCTCTGGTCTCAGAAGCTAAGCAGGGTCGTCCCTGGTTAGTACTTGAATGGAAGACTGCTAAGGTAAAGTCCAAGTCGCTACACAGAGGCGGGCAATGGCAAACTTCCTCTGTTCGTCTCTTGCCTTGAAAACTGTATGGGGTCATAAGAACATAAGAGAAGCCATGTTGTATCAGGCCAATGGCCCATCTAGTCCAATGCTCTGTGTCACACAGTGGCCAAAACCCAGGGCCCATTAGGAGGCCCACCAGCAGGGCCAGAACTCCAGAAGCCCTCCCACTGTTGCTCCCCCAAGCATCAAGAATACAGAGCATCACCGCCCCAGGCATAAGAACAGAAAGAGAAGCCATGTTGGACCAGGCCAGTGGCCCATCCAGTCCAACACTCTGTGTCAAACAGTGGCCAAACCCAGCTGCCATTAGGAGGTCCACCAACGGGGCCAGAACTCCAGAAGCCCGCCCACGGTTGGCCCCCCAAGCATCAAGAATCACTGCCCCAGACAGAGTGTTCCTATCTATACCTTGTGGCTAACAGCCATTGATGGACATCTGCTCCATATGTTTATCTAATTCCCTCTTGAAGCTGTCTCTGCTTTTATCCACCACCACTTCCTGCGATAATGAGTTCCATGGGTTAATTACTTTTTTGGGTGAAGAAGGGTCACCATAAGTTGGCTGTAACTTGATAAACCCCCCCCCCCAGAACCGTCAACACTATTGGCACCATCTAATGAACATAATAATAATTGTTGGGGTCAAGCATGCTCTGCTAGAATGGGTTCAGCACAAACATTTTCCGCATAGGGAGTCCCTGGAAGTTACTTACGTTGCTTATAGTCCGCCTCTGTCACAGGGACTGAAGGCCGATTACACAGCGTGAGTTAGTATAATCACAAAAAAAAAGGGATGTTCAATAACCCACACATTAGGATTTTAGAAACCTGGAACTACAAGATGGAACCAAAGTACAGCGTAAGTATTCACATGACACAATGGGTGTGTTCAGACGGGGCGTTCCAGCCGGCATAAACTGTACCGGTTGGAACCGGTGCAGTTTATGCCGGCTGAAACACGATCACACTTACCTCCAATCTGCGGAGCACATCGCTGTATGCCCGTTCACATGCAGCGGGCGGCGTTTTTTGGGTTTTTTTAAACTCAGTTTGAGCATGCGCATAGGCAGCCATCCACAGAATGGCGATCTTCACGCATGTGCAAAACACCCCGTCTTTCATTTAAAGTTTAAAGGTAAGGACTTACCTTTAAAGTTTAAAGACCAAACTGGCCTCCCTGAGGTCTCGGAGTCCTCCAAAACCTTAAACTAAGGACCTTTTCTTTTTTTAAAAAAAATGCCGGGGCGAGGCTTCGCCCAAGCGCATATCGCCAACCTAACAAAAAAAAATGGCGGGCAAAAATCGGAAGCCTCGGGCTTTCGAGCGGAAGTGGCTCTACAACGTTGGAGAGCGATCAGACGGGGGTAAAGCGATTACAACTGTTGCACTCAGGATACCACCACTTGGGGACCTACTAGCAGAATACAGCGGTGTAAAGCTCTTTGCAACGGTTAGGGACGGAAGGCAGATGTTCGTCGTGTGAACGCCGGTAAGTACACCGATTCCAACCGGCACCTATACTGTTGCAAATGCCCCGTCTGAATGCACCCATTGAGTGGCACAGAAATTACATGAACAGGATCCTGCTTACAATGAGCTATATGCAGCCGTACAGATCACCGTCCCTAACAATTTATCTAAGCAAGTTTGTAAAACTGTTTTGTGCTCTGCAGCCGTATTGCCCGTGCAGAAAAGCCCTCTGGAATAGTTCAGTTTTGCATGGTTTACGGAAGGCCAAGAGAGTGGGAGGTTTCCTGGCCTCCTCGGGCAGGCCGTTCCACACGGCGGGAGCCACGAGGGAGAAAGCAGGTGTACGGGCAGGTGTTGATTTTGCCCATTTGCACGTCGGCACCTGCAGAAGCCCCCGATGACTTGAGCAAAGTTGTTGCATCGGAGCGTCGGGGGAGAGGCCGCCTTGCAAACGAGAGGCGCCACGGAGGGCTTCATATGCGGTAGCCAATACCAGTCCAGCTTGCTGTTAATTAGATTTAACGGCCTGATCTTTTTCTTCTCTCCCTTTACTCTAGAAACCCAGCTCCGTTCGCATCGATCAGTTGGATCGTGAGCAGTTCAATCCCGACGTGATTACCTTCCCCATTATTGTCCACTTCGGAATACGGCCGGCGCAGCTCAGTTACGCGGGAGACCCCCAGTAAGCTGTTACCGTCGAGTCTAGCCTGGGCACGCTTGCTTTTGGTGGGCAGGTGCCAGCTCTCACGCTTCTGCTAAAATTACGAAAACGCACGTTCCTCCTATGCTCTCGAGCTTCTTTTGAGTATTTTTTTAGATTTGTCTCAAGTTGTTTCTGGTTGGTATTTTCATCTCACCCCCAGCGTCAAGCAGTTCTTTTGCATTTCACTTCACAGTAACGTATTTTAGGGAGGGGCATTTGAAGCGCTTCATTTCCCCTCCGGTTAGCAAGAATGCTTGGCTTTTACAGTCTTAGTGTTTCATTTCATAAGAGCATAAGAAGAGCTCTGCTGGATCAGACTGGTGGTCCATCTAGTCCAGCATCCTGTCTCACATAGTGGCCAACCAGTTCCTCTGGAGGGCCAACAGCAGGGCTGAGAGGCCGAGGCCTTCCCCCTGAAGTTGCCTCCTGGCTCTGGGATCCAGAGGATGAGTGCCTCTGACTGTGGAGGTTCCCCTCAGCCACCATGGCCAGTAGCCATTGAGTGACTTATCCTCCATGGATCTATCTAATCCCCTGTGAAAGCTGTTTATTCCTGTGGCCATCACTACATCCTCTGGAAGTGAATGCGACATTTTAATCACTCTCTGTGTAAAGTGGTTAGAGATGTGAAATTTCCGGAAATTTTGAAGCTCGGAAAAAACCCCGGGTTTTTTCCGTTTTTTTCGGGGGGAAATGGAAATTTTTGGAAAAATTGAAAAAAAATGCTACATTAGCATTTCTTTTGTCTTTTCTAGATTGAAAGTCATTCTGTTACTTTAGGAACATAAAATATGACTGGACATTTTTACTTGGCATGAAATTATCACAACTAGCATATTAAAAATATAGTGTATACAAACAATTATTACAAACAGAATACCCACCCACATGCAAAAACAAAACTGAAACCTTTTTCTTTTCTTCTGACAATAGCACCTCCTAAAGGAAGAAATGCATCTTGTTCTTGCATTGGAGAGTTCAGTTTGTAACCTAGGACTTGCTTGTCCTCAGTGCACAGAAATTAGATCAATCTGATACCATATATATATATTTTAGAAATGATTTGGAAAATATTTGAACACCTTGTCTTAAAATATTTTATTCATCATGTTAAAATAAAACGTTCCATAATCATTTCTTTTTTCAATTTTTCCAATTTTTCGGGAAAAAACAAAAAAGCTTCAGGAAAAAAACAGAAGAAACCCGTTTCCCCCCCGAATTTTTCCATTTTTTTTCCGGGCCTTCACAGTGGTCCTTCCTACTCTCCATCCTGAACCTACTGCCCATCAGCTTCATTGGATGCCCCCGAGTTCTAGGGTTTTGAGAGAGGGAGAAAAAGTCCCCTTTGTCAACTCTCTCCATCCCACACATCCTTTTATAAACCTCTTGCACGTGTTGCCTGTTGGATTCTTGAAGGAATGCTGCCGCTGTGGTCTCCCGGGACTACTCAAGCCAGTGCACCCCTGTTCCGATTTGTTCCAGCCCATTTCTGGGAACGTGTGTGCGTTATGGATCTGCACAGACAGCCCAATCTGGCCTGAGCTCAGCAAGTCTTGGGAGCTAATCAGGGTCAGCCACGGCCAGTCCTTGGATGTGCTGGGCAGCGCATGCAGCTGGGAGTTTGGGGGCGGTGGTGTCTTTCTTTGACAGTGGGGAGGGCTCCTAGAAAGGGCTCTAAGAAGACCAAAAAAGTGTTCAGCTCTTTTCTTAATGGGGTGGGGTGGGGAGGAGAGGAGAAGTCAAGTAGCAAAGCATAACTGCATTGTTACCAGAACGAAGTTTCAGTCCAGTGGTACCTTTAAGACCAACACAAGACCCGGTCACACGGG